ACAACTTCAATCTTTTCTCCGTTGATAAGAGATGTTTTGTGGATTCCTAGTTATTCTTCAACTTTTCAAAGTATTCCATTGTGTATAGGTACCGAACTTTGTTTAACGTTTCTTCTTTTGGTGGTAATTTGGTCTGTCTCCATCTTTTTGTTATTTTGAACAGTGCTGCAATGAATGTTGTTGTTGTTGTTAAATGATGAGTCTGTTCCACCTAATAGTGACCCTGTATAGGGTTTCCGAGTAGTGGCTGCTGGGTTTGAACCGCCAGCCTTGCTGTTCAAACTGACTTTGTGGTCCAGTGCTTCTCCCACAGTGCCACACTGGAACTCTACAATGAACATGGGTATGGATGTATCTAATTATGTCATACATCATTTCTTGAGGCTATAGTAGAGGGATTTCTGGGTCATATGGTATTTCTATTTTCAACTTTTTGAGAAAGCAGCATACCGTTACCACAGCAGTTGCACCATTTTACATGTACTCACCAGTAGGAAGGCCCCAGTCTCTCTACACCCTTGAGGGCATTGGCTGTTTTCTGTTTATTTGAACCTTGGTATTAATGATAGAGTAAGATGACATCTCAATGGTGTTTTGATTTGCTTCTCTCTTCAGGCTAATGATCCTGAGCAGTTTCCTCATGTTGGCCATCAGAATGTCCTCTACGGTGAAGTGTCTGTTAATATCCTCTGCCCATGTTTACATTGGACTATTTGTTTTCTGGTTGAGGTGTTGAAGTATTCAACACATTTTCGAGAGTAATCTCTTGTCTGATATGTCATTACCAAAAATATTTTCAAGTCTGTGTGTTCTATTTTGACTTTTTTGGTGAAATATTTTAATGCATGTGTCTAATTTTTAGGAGGTCCCAGTCAGCTATTTTATCTTCTGCTCTTTGTATGTTTTCAGTTATGTTTGATAATGTGTGTATGTCATGTATTAGAGCCCTTAAGTTTGTATCTATTTTTCTCATTAATGATCTTTATAGTGCTAGGTTTTACATATAGGTGTTTAAACCATGTTGAGTTTGGTTTTGTATATTGTATGAGATGTGTATTGTTTTGTTTCATTCTTCTGCAAATGAATTTCCAGTTTTGCCAGCATCATTTATTAAAGAGACCATTTCTTCCCCATTTAATATCTTTTGGTCATTTATGAACAATCAAATGAACATATTGTTACATGCCATCGAGTCAGTATCAACTTATAGTGACCTTTTGTACAACACACTGAAATACTGCCTGGTCCTGTGCCAACCTAACAATCATTGCTATGCTTGAGCCCAATGCTGCTGTCATTGTGTCATTCCATCTTGTTGGAGGCCTTCCTCTTTTTTGCTGATCCTCAACTTTACCAAGCATGATATCAAGGACTAGTTCATCCTGATAACATGTTCCAGTATGAGAGACGAAGTCTGACCACCTGGCTTCCAAGGAACATTCTGACTGTACTTTTCTAACATAGATTGGTTTGTTCTTTAGGCAGTCCATGGTATTTTAAATATTTTCCTCCAACACTATAACTCAAATGCATCAGTTCTTCTACGATTGATCTTTATTCATTGTCTAACTTTCAAATACAGATGAGGTCATTGAAAATACCGTGCCCTGAATCAAGCTCACCTTTGTCCTCAAACTGACATCGTTGCTCTTGAACACTTTAAAGAGGTCTTGGGCAGCAGATTTGTCTAATATAAGATGTCCTTTGATTTCTTGACTGCTGCTTCCCTGAGTATTTGTCTAAGCAAAATGAAGTCTTTGACAACTTCAATCTTTTCTTCGTTAGTCTGATGTTATTTATTGCTCCAATGGTGAGAATTTTTGTTTTCTTTACAGTGAGGCATAACCCATACCAAAGGCTGTGAATTTTGATCTTCATCAGTAAGTATTTAAGTCCTTTTCACATTCAGCAAGCATGATTGTATCATCTACATATAATAGGTTGTTAATGAGCATTCCTCCAACCCTGATGCCAAGTTTTTCTTCATATCATCCAGCTTCTGATATTATTTGCTTAGCATACAGAATGAAAAAGTCTGATGAAAGAATATAACTCCGGTACACACTTTTGCTAATTTTAAGCCATTGAGTGTTCCCTTGTTCTGTTTGAACAACTGCCTCTTGGTCTAGGTACAGGTTTCTCATCAGCACAATTAAGTATTCTAGAATACTCATTCTCTGCAATATTGTTCATAGCTTATTGTAATCCACACAATCAAAATCTTTTGCAGAGTCAATAAAGTTCAGGTATATATCTCTTTCTGTGAAAAGAGATGGTGGAAAAACTCCATATCATCAACCAAAACAAGGCCAGGGGAAAACGGTGGTTTCATCAATTGCTTGTAGGCAAGTTCAGGCTGAAGTTGAAGAAAATTAAAACAAGTCCACAAGAGCCAAAATATGACCTTAAACATATCACACCTGAATTTAGTGATCATCTGAAGAACAGATACTATGTATTAAACATTAAAGATTGAATACCAGAAGAATTGTAGGGTGACATCAAGAACACCACATAGGAAGAAAGCAAAAGTATATTAAGAAGATAAGTAAGAAGAAAAATACCAAAATAGATGTCAGAAGAGACTGAAACTTGCTCTCCACAAGGAGATGCTAAAGCAAATGGAAGAAATGAGGCAGTAAAAGAACGGAATAGATCATTTCAAAGGGCAGCTCAAGAAGACAGAATTAAATATTATAACAAAATGTGCAAAGACCTGGAGTTATAAAACCAAAAGATGTCAGTTGGAAGACTAAGGTGTCACTGACACAAGTCATGGTATTTTCGATAACCTCATCTGCATGTGAAAGTTGCACAATGAATAAATAAGACTGTAGAAGAATAGATGCATCTGAGTTATGGTTTTGGAGGAGAATATTAAAAATACCATGAATTGTCAAAAGAACAAACCAATCTGTGTTAGAAGAAGTACAGCCAGAATGTTCCTTGGAAGCTGCACGGCCAGACTTCCTTTCTCATACTTCGGACATATTATTAGGAGGAACCAGTCCCTGGAGAAGGATATCATGTTTGGTAAGGTGGAGGATCAGAGAAAAAGAGGAAGACCCCCAGTGAGATGGATTGACACAGTGGGGTAACAATGAGCTTGGGCGTAGCAACGATTGTGAAGTTGGTGCAGGACCCCAGTCAGTCAGTATTTCATTCTGTTGTGCAAAGGGTCTACAGGAACAGGGATTTAAGGTTAATGTGGACAGCAAATGGGA